GGTATAGTAAAAATGAAACTGAAGCTGAGGGCTGGTGGCTCATGCTTGTAATTTTAGCTACTGACAAGGCTGAGATCTGAGGATCTTGGTTTAAAGCCAGCCCCAAAAGACAAATCCTTGAGACTATTATATTCAATTTACCAGCCAAAATCTGAAAATGGAGTTGTAGCTCAAGTGTAGAGCACCAGCCTTGAGTGAAAAAACTAAGCAAAACAGGAGCCCCTGAGTTTAAGCTCTAGTACTACAGGATTTAAAAAAACAAGCAAAAAAGACCTCCCCCCAGTCCTCCCCAACCCTCTCCCCCCCCACTCCCCACCAAACCCCCAAACCCAGAAGTCACTGTGCTCATGGATTCTAGTGAGGTAGCCATTTACACAGTGATCAGGGGAGATCTCATTGGAAAGGAGACTTTGGATGAAGACAGAAAGGTGAGGATGCCATATGCGTGTCTACAGAAGAGCATTTGGGACAGAAGCGGCAGAGTTACAAAGGTGGTGCTGAGGCCTGGCCTGGCCTGGCCCAGCCTGTGGTGTTTAAGGAGTAGCTGAGGGGGGCAGAAAGAAAAGAGGTTAGAGAAGTGATGCAGGCCAGATCACTATGTAAAAACATGTCTACTCAGCCCTTTTAAAAAGGCAAATTGTGGGGCTGGGAAGGTGGCTCAGTGGTAGAGCACTTGCCTTGCATGCCTGAGGCCCTGGGTTTGATTCCTCAGCACCACATAAGCAAAAAGAAGAAAGCCGGAAGTGGCGCTGTGGCTCAAGTGGTAGAGCGCTAGCCTTGAGCTGAAGAGCTGAGGGACAGTGTCCAGGCCCAGAGTTCAGGCCTCACGACTGGACCCCCCCCCAAAAAAAGCAAATTGTACATGGGTGGGGGTTTGTTAGAGAATTTTGAATATGCTACATGGAAGCGTGGTTCTTGGTCACATAGCAGGGAATGGGGAGTCATTGAGGGAATTAGGAGGGAGGTGCAGCACTTCCAATACCAACTCACTGATGGCTATTGAGTTCAAGGGCTTAAGGGCTAGTCCATAAATGTCTGTTGAGTGCTTTAAAATGTCATCATTTGATAATTTGTTATGATATATGAGTAATTAGAAGTGAGTATGAATATTTAAAAGCATTATGTAGGACTTTTTTAGAACCATGTTGATGCAAATTGGTTATCCCACACTTATCTTTCAGCTGCTTTGTATGTATTTTTCTTGTTAAGTGGAAAATTTTTCCTATGAAGTTTTACTTAGGGATTTTTTTGCATTAGTTATTTCTGATTTAAAATTGATCGTTAATTAAAAAATGTAACTTGTGTGATGAAGTACATTAAATGGAACCTTGGTGAATTTGTTATTTCACAAATAGTTTCTCTTATAATATGACACTTATGTGTTTCTTGTAGAAACTTTTTATTGAAGTGTATCAAATATGAAAAATGTATAAATCACAAGTGTGCAGTGAATTTTCAAAGTTCCAAAGGAGTTTTTATTTGCACTCTAGTACTATTGAGAGTTGTTTCCTTGTGTGATTTTTAATAACATTTAATATTGTCAGCTGTTCTTTGGGTATATGTTGTTGTCTTTATGGCTTAATTTATTTTACTACAATTGATGATAATGAGTCTTTAAAAATTATGTTTATTGGCCATTTAAATATTCTCTTTTATGTTTCTCTAACTTTTACCCATTTTTTTCTATTGGGTTGTATGGTCTTTATTACTTTATGGATATTCTGCTTATTTTTATGATATGAATGGGATGTGTTTGCTATAATCTTTTTTACTTTGGGTTTTTATACCCTACTTATGTGTCCTTTTTATGAATTGAGTGTTTTAGTTAGGTGAATAGTGTTTTTCTCTATAGGTCACACTTTTTGTATTTTAAACTGTGATATGATAGATATATTCCTATGTTTTTCTTCCTGTGTATTATTGTCCCTTTCATACTTAGATCTACAATCCATACAGAACTGATTTTTTTCTTCTTCTGGTACTGGAGGTTGAACTCAGGGCCTTGTGGTCATGAAGCATAATGAGCAAAAGAATAAAATTGGGAACACTTCTAGATTATCTTAACTTAGATGTTATATTCCAGCTTATTTTTATAAATACTTTTTATTTTCTTAGATCACTACATGTACACATACCAATGTATACAAGATAAGCTTCCAGAGCAACGGTAGCTCTTTCCATTGTTCCAGTCAGGTTTACTGTTGTGTTTAGAGCGGTGGTTCTTTAGCTTCAGTATGCAGCAGAATCCTGCTCTGCTTGCTCCTGCTGCTTATGATGCTACTGCTGCTGCACACTGTATTTCCCTCTAGATGTGATCCTGTTTCTGGCTTCTCAGTCTTTTTTTTTTTTTTTGTCGGTCGTGGGGCCTGAACTCTGGGCCTGGGCGCTGTCCCTCAGCTCTTCAGCTCAAGGCTAGCACTCTACCACTTGAGCCACAGCGCCACTCCCATTTTTTCTTTTTTTTCTTTTTTTTCTTTTTTTCTGAGTGGTTTATTAGCAATAAGAGTCTCATGGACTTTTCCTGCCTGGGCTGGCTTTGAACCGTGATCCTCAGATCTCAGCTTCCTGAGTAGCTAGGATTACAGGCGTGAGCCAGTGGTACCCAGATTGGCTTCTCAGTCTTGTTCCATGGATTTTTTTTTTTTTTTGGCCTATCTTTGTATCAGCACCACAGTTCCTCTATTTCTGTGGCTTAGTGTCAGTATCAGAGTTGCAGGGTTTCTACCTGTTCTCTTCAGAACTGCACTGGGACTTTAGTTTTCTTCACAAATTTCCAGTTTATATTGTCCAGTTTGACAAGAACTTTAGTGGGATTCTGATTGGGTACAGACACATACATATGTATATATATGTACATATATGCACATGTATTTGATTTAGAGAGAAATTGTGTTTTAATAGATATTCATTGCTAAAGATAGTACACTTCTATTCATGTCTTTTATATCCAAAAAATAACATTCTGCAATTTTTTTCTTGAAGGTTTTATATATTGTTGGTTGTCTCATTCCTAGTATACCACATTGAGTACAACTTGTGTAGCTATAATAAAGTTACACTGATGTAAATTTAAAAGCACTACATAATTTGATATAATAAGGTTTAAGATATGATTTATTTACCTAATATTAATCACATAAGAATATATATATTTTATTGTGATTAAGTGATGACATAAATTTCACAAATTTCATAGTCTTGTTAGATAGTTATACTTAATTAAAGTCACAAACACATTCTAACCTTCTTGGGGCAAATTGTCTTTATTGTGGTCTATAAAGTTTGTGAATCCTATGAGCTTTGACAGTACAGCTATTTGCTCCACATCGGGTGATATGTACATTTTTTTTCTTTTGCTTAGTGTCAGCTGTTCCCTCTTTCCCTCTCATTCCCTCCCTCCCATCGTTGCCCTTGAGTTGCTTAGTTTGTTTTGATCGGTGTCCAGTGGAGCTGATGGGTCCTGCAGTTGTATATTTTCCCGTTCCCCCGTTTCTGTGTTCTCCTCTAGTTTCCCTCAGATATGCGCATATATACCATATATGTGGTCAGCAGCATGGGGTCATTTAGTAATGATAGAATATTTTTAAGTGAAATTGGCTGTTTCTATAGTGTAAATTAATTGTACAAGGAGAGTGTACTGTGATATTTTCATACATGCTTACTATGTACTTTGGTCAAATTCACCCCCACTGTTATGCTTTCTAACTGTTCCTCTCCTACTGTTATACTCTCTCTCTCTCTCTCTCTCTCTCCCTCTCCCTCCCTCTCTAGTTCCATCATATTTTCTCTCAGAAGTTTCTCTTCTTTCTTCTTCTTTTCCTGGTTTTCTTCCACCTGAGAATCTCCATTTTATATTCATGTCATTGTCATTATCATTATTATTATTATTGTTATTTATTTCAAGATTTTTATCTGAAGGATTCATACCTGAAAAAAATAGATAATGATTGGGGAAGGGTATATATAGGCTACAGAGTGGTATCTGTAATTTTTTGTTACTTTAATATTAAATCTTTGGAAAAAACCACAAAGCAAATAGTTACCATCAAGTAAATATCAAAAATGAGGAAATTGTTAAACAAATTTCAGCTTTTGTGTACTATAGGATATTTTCCAGTCATTCAAAAGAATGAGCTATGGCTAGGTCACTCTGTATGGAGAGAATTTCAAGAGTTAGTATTTAGTGAGGTAGACAAGGTGCAGAAAAGTATGTATAAAGCCATTTCACTTTATAGTAAGATGACATATATGTAATGTAAGTTCATGCATATCATATACTTATTCATAGCAAGGTAGGTAATATGCTTTTGTCTGATCATACAAACAGATAAAAATAGGGAGAGAAGGAAAGAGAAGGATGAATGAATGGGGAATCAAGATGGGAAATAGAAAAGTACATGAATCACTTAGCATGGATGATATGCTTTTGTTTATACATTTATAAATAAGAAGACTACACAGTCACTTTATTTAATGAACCAGTTGACTCAGAGAGGAATTTACTGCATTTGTCTGGTGGTTGTGATAAAAAAATGAATTTAGCAAAAGTCCAAAGAAGCTCCTCAAAGAAGGAATTACTCAATGCTTTGTTCTGCTGTTAGAATCTCTAAATAGATAATTTAATGAAATTAAGATGCTTTTCAGTTTTACTTCCTAGGTACGGGTAATACAGTTAACTTAATTTCAATGAATTCTTTTAATAATGCAGATGAGAAAGTCCACGGTGTGCTAGGTGATACCTGATGCCAGGATATAAAAATAATAGTTGTGATATTTTATGAAATGGGGATATTTGAGCAGGGAAATGTTCTTTTTCTCTCTCTTTTCCTTTTTCTTCCCTTTTTTCCTCCCTCCCTTCTTCTCTTTCTCTCATTGTTTCAACCTCATCAAAGAAGGAATGATTCTTGTCTTTTTGCTGCTGTTGTTCAGGGTGAGGTCTTAGTGAATAGTTTGAAATAATGGGGTAATACTTTGATATTTTTATTTTTATTTTCTTTCAGTGTGCGGGATGACAGAATTCGGGTAGAAAGGATGGACAACATTTATTTTGAATACAGCCATGCTTTCCAGGCAGTTTCAGAGTTTTATGGAAAAGAAATAATAGACATCAAAGGTACATATTTTATCCATATTAGTGTATTTGTCAAACTGTACTGACTTGAGATTTGGCTAATGGTGTGAATGTGGCGTTCCATTGAATGACAGGTAGACAGTAATCAGTCAGAAGTAGAAGGAGCTGAGGGCAAAGGGCCCTCTTCTTTTTTTAAGTGCCCTATTCTTGTGCTCTTCAAGAACACCACTGCAGCCACCCTGTAGCTCATACCTGTAACCTCAGCACTTAGGAAGCTGAGGCAGGAAGATTACAGAATACAACTGTAGCCTCTTCCTTATAGTTGTAACCATGTGGTCACTTGCTGCTTTTGACAGATTCACTTGAATCTATGGAATTATTGACCAACTTTTCTTTTTGCTCACCTTTAAAGGTGGTTCATTAGTAGCTTAGCAGTTTTATAGAATGTTTAGGTATTCTTAAGAAGACTAGCATCTGAAAGGTTGGTTGTTAGAATTAAAATACCAGAACGTTAGTAATGGGATCCTAACATGTTAAGTAACCACCGTTTGTCTGATTGCATTTCCTCATCAGGCATTAGTGTTTTATTTTGTCTGTACCTCGTATGCAAGTCAGTCCAGCTTATGTTAGTGTTCAGTTTAGTGATGTGAATACACATTTTTCCTTTTGGCCCACACTTGGGCTTTTTTCAGTTCTCATTACACCCCATACAGATAATGTTTGTCCTTGCCACGTGCCTGAGAGTTTCATCATGTCTTGTTAGCATTGCCTTTCATGTAGGCTTCAGCATCTGGTTTTGGAAATTTCATGGTTTTTGGTTTTGAACTTATATTCTTGCACTTGCTAGGCAGGCAGTCTGTCAGTGAGCCACTCCACCCCCCCAGTCTTTTCTTCCCCTTATTTGTCCTATAAAGCCTCCCATTTTACATTGTTTAGAATACCCTATAGGATGCAAAAATGAAGTAGGGTGGCCAGACTGAGAGCTGTTCCCATGTTGGTGGTGAGCAGTGAGAATGGCTGCACTACCAGCCCCTGTCATTAGCTATGTGTGGTGGTTGTTCATCTATATCAATTCAAATAGCTATAAGCCACTCCTTTTAAGAGCTATCCTGTGATTGGGATTTACCAAAACTTATTTAACTATTACCCTAGGGATGTTTATTTAGGTTGTCTCTACTGTGTTTTTTTTTAAACGATTATAATAGAATTTTCAACTCACCCTCTATTTTCACAGTCTTAGGATAGAGTTTGAACTATTAAAAATGGTACCCCCTTGTTCTTCCCAAAAGATTCAATTCATCATCAAAACAATGTGCTTTTCTCCATACCATAGGTATTTATGATCACTTTTTCCCAAAGGTGACCTTTCAGTTTAGGAGGTTGCATCTCATCCAAACTATTATTTTAATAATATCTAATGTTTCACATTGATACTATTTTAAAATATAAATTAATGTTTTACATTTAAGTAATATTTAATAATAAATATTTTTAACTATAAAATATATTTTGTTTAGCTTAAAATTTGTTTTCAATAATAGTAATCATGTTAATGAGGGTATATGCTTTGCTTTTTTAGGTTCCCAAAGTTTTTCTGGCATCATTAATTTGGAGAAGCCTGTGATTTGCTCTTTGGCTGGCATAATAAAATATCTAAAAGAATTTAATTTGGAAAAGATGCTCTCTAAACCTGAGTAAGTAGAAAAAAGGAGGAAAGAAATGTTGTATTAAAACATTTCATAAATCAAATTAGAAATGAGAGTTTTACCTGCTAATGATAAAATACTAAGGAGGGTATAAGGATTAACTGTTTGACATTGTTGCTGAGCAATAATTAAAATATTTCTTAATTAAAAATGCTGTCAAATTGTATTCATGATAGCTATTTATTGTTTTGACTATACAACTATGGCTTATATTAATTGGATTATAAAGTATTATTAAAAGTATTTATAAGCTTTTACTATCTTCCTTACTATTGGTTTCATTTATTATTTTATGGACCAGATAACTTTTTGCAAGAAAAACTAAGTTGGTAGATGTCAGGCATTTCAAAGCTGTTAATTGACTGTCTAGGGAAATACTAGTTTAATAACCCATGGAGTTAAAATGTCAGTGGGTAATTTTCTTGCCTTTCTATATTCCACCTTCACTAGCCCATTGTCTTGGCTCTGTCAAGAATTACCTCCATTACATGATCTGGTGTAAGTTAGCTCTTTTCAGTAGTAGTGGGTGGCCTGTAGGAGTGAACTCAGTAAAATGGCAGAATTGAATTAGGTAACAAGAAGTGGTACTGGTTCGAAGTTGCTGGCTAGAGTGGTGAAAGGTCTTTTTCTTGAGAATAACAGGGACATATTTGATACTTTTCTCATCATGATTACCAAATACTTGACAGAAGCAATTTAAGGGCAAAAAGCTTTATTTTTAGTTTATAGTTTCAGAGGGTTCAGTCTGTCCAGGTAGGGAGGGCATGGTCCAGCTTAGGTCATGGCTGACAGGGAAAGGAAGCAGAGGAAAGGACTGTTGACCTGGTCTGATCTTCAAAAAGCATGCCTGCAATCACCTAATTGTACTAGACTCCACCTCCCAAAGTTTCCATGGGAACTACCAGCTGAGGACCATGTTCAATACATGAGGACCATGTTCAATTCAGACCACAGCAGAGCAAGATAGTATCGTTACAGATAATGAATGAATGCCAGAAAGACATGTCCACAGAGGAAAGAAAAAGTATAGTGTACTGTTTTAACGCATGCTAAAAGACACTAAGAAAACAATACTAGTCATGGAAGAACATAAATAAGAAGTAGTAAAGCTTTGAAATGAGATGATAGGATTTAAGAATGGTATACAATGAAAAGGTTAGTTTAGCTAAAGGTAAACAATTTAGAAAGAAAAAAATACAAACAAACAAGCTAATGCAGCAGGTCTGAGAAGACAGCTATCCTGAGGAAGATCTGCCTGTGAGCTTGGATCTTGACTAGACTGTGGAATTTCTATTCTACTGGTAGAATATCCTGCAGAATAGTTTTGGGATCCTTCCCTCCCTCCCTCCCTCCCTCCCTCCCTCCCTCCCTC